GTAGCATATGGTCCAGGCGAGCAAATCGATAACCTAACAAAATTAATTACACAATCAGAACATATTCAATAAGTTTTATTTATTTTCTACTTTCTACTTACCACACCGCCAACCCATTCTGTAGGCTTCAACGTTGCAACGTCGTATACAGTAGCGAATTGATTTCCCATTGATATTACAGAATATCTGTATGAATCATTAGGATTAATATCTTGTCATGAAATATTTAAATATCACTCACAAAACAATATATTTCACTTACCCCGATTCTAACTCGCTATTCCATAAATAATCACAAATTGCAGCTTCGATGTCATCAATTCCAGTTGGAATGTCCGCTTTTTCAACCTACAATTTGCATACAAATTTTTGTCACAACAACATAATAAAAATCAAATTAAGTATTCTTTTATTAAACTTACCTTCTGCTTCTTCTTCTGGGGTGCAGGACATTCCGAATCCAAAACTGCTGCTATGACACTCTCCGGTGTATAAAGCACATTGGGCCTCTCCTTCCTCCTCATTTCTTCCATCTCTTCTTCTTCCTCCTCCCTCTTTTCTTCTTCATATTTTTTCAGTTCATCGTACTTTTTTTCTACATAGCTCTTCATATCTTTTATTTCACCCTTCAATTGAGCTCCTTCATCCGAGTATTTATCAACCACCCCCTTCACCCCCGTAAGTTCACTCCTCAAATCAACAACCTCCTTCACCACTCCCTCAAATTTTTCTCCCGTCACCATCTTAATATCACCCCTTAACACCGAAACTTCTTTCACCACTTCACCCCTCAACACCTCTACTTCTTTCACCACTCCATCTATTTTTCCTTCCACTACCCCCTTATGCCTCTCGAGTTTCTCTACGACTTGATCAAGTTTCTCTTCGACTCTTGATTGTCTTTGCATGATTTCAAATTGGATTTTTTGATATCAGCCAATTCAGACATCAAAATGTCGAAGTTACTCTGTTTTGCTTCACCGTCGTCCCACTCACCTTCATCCCCCAATACAACCATCCCTCCTTTCTTCTCCTCTGCCTCCACTGCCTCCTCTACATCCTTGCCAATAACCTTCAAAAAATTAAATTACAATATTAAGACATTGATTATATTCTTAATATTATTTAATTACATTTATTACCATTTCTTGCTTCTTCCCTCTATCCAACTTCAACTTCACCATCACTCTAACCACCTCTTCCTTCCCCCATGCACGGATGCGTGCCACTCCGGTTCTTTCATAAGCCGGCACTGCCTCACAGCCCGACCAAAAATCGAACAGTGCAACCTGCATTTATAATAAAATTAGAATTTTTATATAAAAACACAAAAAAGTGATTCAACTCATTTACCTCTAAGATTGCTATGCACCCTTTGAGGTATCTCTGGCTGCCCTTTTTAAAGGTGATAATTGATTCAATCAATCTCGAATGGATATATTCAGCCCAATTGAATTCACCCTTCAAGCCTTCATCGCAAATGAGCTTCATATATTCCTTGTTCGTTGACGTATCACCCGTTGGACAAAGAAATATACCGACAAGGTACAATAGAACTCGGGCCTTCAGCTCATCCCCCAAGTAAGATCCACTTTTGATATCCTCTTCAACTTCAGTATATGTCACCTTATGATTCAAACCATATTTGGAGGCAAGTGCTTTCCAGTTCTTACTCCTACAGACTTCTATAACACTTTTGCCTTTGTTTTGTACCCCCAATACGGCTGCAGCAGTCGATACCCCCAGAGGGAATGAATAATCACCATACTTAGCCATACATTGACTGACGTCAAATTGTGCCATCAAGGATCGACACAATTCCCTCCGAATAGGTCGATCCCTTACTCCGATCAACGATCCAAAACCTATTTCTCCCAGCACATTCAACTGACCCTTCTCCTTAAGGTGTTTAATTAATAAATTCACCCTTTTAATGCTGCATCTTGTCGAAACTTCCTACATTTTTTAACAATATATAATGTTATAGTTCTTATATATTTGTATCAACGTATTTACAAGTTTAATGAATACCTTATTTTCATGTGCTTTCCTCCGTTCTTTGTATTCTTTACTATCATTCCTTGACTGTGTGATGTAAGGTTCCTTTTCAGCATCACTCATTGAATTCCATTTGGACCTCACATCTTTTTTCACCTAATATTAAACATAAACGTTTCTTAATCAATACATTAACACTAAATACTAATACTACTCAATGTCAATTTCATTTTACATACCGAACCGCTCTGTGTGCCATCTCCCTTCATCCTTTTGCATTCGGCCATACTGTTAACATTTAAAATTTGTAATCAATTTAAAGTTTATCGATACTTTAATCCAATTACCATTTCAACAATAATAACAAAAAGACATTGATACTTACTAGAAGTACATATATCCACCCTTTGGTTGCTTTCGAGTCTCGGCCTCAATTTCAAAGTCATCTGCTCCACCAACAATTTTCCAACCCATTGACTCCATTTTTCCTTCATATATCAGTTTACGCAAATCAAATTATTTTGTTACATACACTTTTCAATATACAAATATAGATAACTACTCTTGTGGTAAAACGGTTTTCTTCAAAAGAATTTGAATGGCCACACCAAAATGTGTCGGCACATTTATACAACCTATAATATCATTTTCTACCTATAATATTTAATAAAGTATCGACATTTATCGTTTTCCTTGAATATCTATTTCTACCTGCAATCGGTCCCAAATGCTTCCTTACTCCAAAACCCCAAACAACACATAAAAAACCCTATCGCGATTACTGTAATAATAAAAAATTAGGGTTTCGACAACATACTTTTCGATTCGACTGCAGCAACAAACAAACAAACTTCGCTTTAGAAACGCCTTCTAAAATGCAGCAACAATTACTCTTCGATTTCAAAAACTCGTCCGTTCTATCTATTTTCAGAGGATATTTAGCTTATATTTTCATCGGATATGTTATTTATATTTAATCGATACAAATACAAAAGTGTCGATACTTTTATGTCAGGTGTCGATACTTTCGAAAGGATAATTACCTATTTCTTTGAAAGTGTCGATAATTTATTACACGTACTTACGAAAGTATCGACACTTTCAATATATCCGGTATCATTTTACCGTTTTTATCATTTTGATACCGGTTTTATCATATTTTTTACCTGTTATATCGTTGTGGATCGATATTTTTTTTTAAAGTATCGACACATTATAGGCGCTATAACTGCTTCTCTTTTAAATTCACAAAGTGTCGATCCTTATATAACGTATCGACACTTTTAATTTTACCGGTTTTATCATTTTGTTACCGGTTTTATCATATTTTTACCTGGTATATCGTTTTGGATCGATATATTTCTTAAAAGTATCGACACTTTTTAGGATTTAAAACTGCTTTTAAAGTTATGTAATTTATGTTTCAATTTATTTAATAGTGTTTTATGTTTTCCACCTACAATATTAATTTAATAATTTAATTTACACAAAATTTTATTTGATTGTTTTGATATTTTATAAAATATTATTTAGAATTTAAATTTAACAATATTAACCAAATATAATAATAAATATGTTTTCAACAGTGAAATAAGTATGGACACTTTTATAAAAATGATATATACTTTTTTGAAAGTTATGTAATTTATGTTTCAATTTTTTTTAATAGTGTTTCATGTTTTCCACCTACAATATTAATTTAATAATTTCATTTACACAAAAAATTATTTGATTGTTTTGATATTTTATAAAATATTATTTAGATTTTAAATTTAACAATATTAACTAAAGATAATAATAAATATATTTTCACAGTGAAATAAGTATGGACACTTTTATAAAAAGGATAGATAATTTACAATATAACAGGTAAAAATATGACAAAACCAGATTCATTATGACAAAACCGGTAAAATTTACTTGATATGTTAAAAGTATGGACACTTTTATAAAAAGGATAGATAATTACCGATAACCAAAGTTTACCGGTTACCAAATTTTTTAATAGTTTTTCATATTTTCTACCTAAAACATTATTAGTTGTCAACATAATAGGTACCCGCTAAACCGAATTTATTAAATACATTTTAATGTATCCGGTAATGCTGTATATTAGCCGTATATTAACCCGCCTTTCCTGAGACATTCCCCTACGAGAGGTGGGTCATTGACTGACAATATCAATAATAACAATGATCAGTTTGGATCGAGAAGGTATTGGAGTAACCGTTGTACCTTTTAAAAATTTTAATTTTTTTATATATTAGATATTTTTTTATATTTTATATGAATTATTTGATTACGTATTCTCTTATTATATTATCTCTTAAATTTTTAATATAAACTTTTAATTTCATACCTTTAACACAAATTAACGTGTCTATCCTGACAGTGACGATAATTGGTAACAATACCGAAATTAAAAGTTTTAAGATTTTAAAGATTTTTGGATAGATTTATTTTAAATATATATATTTAATCTTTATATTTTAAATAAAACTTTTAAAAGTTTATAAACATAATGCATGTTAGATAATAATTTTTTTCAACGATTATTATTAACACAAGTATTAAAAAATATTAAATAAATACTTTAAATAAAAAAACATTTAAACACCTAAAATTAATAAAAATAATAATTTAAACACTTAATTTTTTATTAAGTTATTTTTATTATTTAAATTCTTCGAGTTGTATAAAAAAAATTCCTTCGAGAGGTTTGCCTATTGGTTCACCTGTTTAACCTAAATTTCAACTAATTAACGAAGGAAACTTACAATAAAGCCCCCATAAACTGTTTATTTTACTGCATAGCCATTTTCCACCCAGTGGATATTAGAGCCTTATCATCGGCCACTCGAAGGCATTGGTTGTCATTGTAATTACCAGCTATACCAAGACCCATTACTGTGATTAATCAAATTCTGCCGATCCTTGGAATTGAATAAACAACTGTCACTTCGTTAGCTTCGCCCACTCTTTTAACACTCCCCGGATTTCCCAAAGCAAAATTTCAACACGCCAATTATTAAACCTTTCAGCTTCGATTTAAAGGCCTTAATTTTCTGGCTACTCTCTTTGCTTCTCGCTCTTATTCTCTCCTCGCTCTTCGTGGATTCCACCGAGCTCCGATCCCGATGGCTTCTGTTGCCGGATCCAATGCCGTTGCTTTGAAATGCGCTGCTAGGTTTGCTGATTGCAGTAACCGAAAGTTTGTTCAGATTAGGCAATGGTCTCCGATTTCCGGCGGATTCGGATCGGTTCAGGCTCGGCCCAGCATCGTGCTCCAGTGCAAATCAAAACGATCGTTTGCTTCATCCGGTATTTGTTTTCTCTTGCTTTTGAGCGCTTTCTTTTTCATCTTTAAGAAATATTTTTTATTCTCATTTTGCAGAAAGCTCAGCGTGTGGAATATGTTTTTTTTTTTGGCTAATTTAACTGATATTTAGCTACACATGTTAAGAACCCGAGACTTGAGAGATTATTGATGATAACATATCTCTAGTTAATTTAGTTTAAGGATACTGAATTGCAGTCAAATTTATTGTTGGAGCTTGTGGAATTTTGTTGTTTAACTGATGATAATAAGCTACATTCGTTAGTAATCTGAGTGATCAGTGATGATTTATGAGAGATATATATCTAGTTATTTGACTTTTGATTTTTTTTTGCTTTTACAGGTATAAAAGCTCAGGTTGCCACTGTTGAACAAGATAGCACTGAAGCAGCTCAAAAGGTGGAAGCTCCTGTAGCCATAGTTACTGGAGCTTCTAGAGGCATTGGCAAAGCAGTTGCATTGACTCTAGGTAAAGCAGGTTGCAAGGTTAGTGAGTGATCCTTTTGGGATATTATTGTCATTTTTACCTTAATTTGATGTGAAGCATACGAAGAATGAAAGTTGTCGCAGCTGAAGTCTTGACCGAAACTAATAATTCTCAAGTATCCTTCAAGTACTTCAAGAAAAACTGTTTAAACAGCTAAAGAAATATTTTCTTCGTTGTATGCACTACTATTTGTTTTGAATATGATGGTTGTTGGTGCCTTTGTGCTATTTCAGGTCCTAGTGAATTATGCCAGATCATCGAAGGAGGCTGAGGAAGTTTCAAAAGAGGTAAACAGTATGCCCTTGGAAGAAATGTATATCAAAACTTGAGTGTGAATTTTACTTCTTTTTTCCTCGGCTCACGGAATTTTGTCAACTAATGCATAAGAATTCATATGAGTAACCTGGCGTTATGTTTGCTTGAATGGGGTCTTTTTAGTTTGACTTGCAGATGAGAGTTTGTAGGGTGCATGAAATCTAATTCTAGGATTCCTTATGTGCTCATTTTTACATCTGGCTGTATGCATCTAAGGGGAACATAATATCAAATATGACCCCTTTTTCCAGATATAATAATTGGACATTTTGTACCTTTTGTCACCTTTAGTCTTTACTCAAGTCTTTTCTTTAAAATCTTTCATAAAGTGCCTCTATGTTCTTCTGTTTGTTTGGTTATTTGTAATGGTCTTTACTTTAGATAGTTATTAGATCATACTGCATGGTTGAAATGTCTAATATTAATAGCTTGTTGGACTTTTTGTAGATTGAGTCGTATGGTGGTCAGGCTGTTACTTTTGGTGGAGATGTTTCAAAAGAAGCTGATGTAGAGGCAATGATAAAAACTGTGAGTGAATGTTCCCTTTTCATATTTTGTAATTTAATAGTAGATGCATGTTTCATGACTTTATATGTGCAGGCTGTTGATACATGGGGAACTGTTGATATATTAATAAACAATGCAGGTTATTAAGAATCCGTTCTTTTTGCATTACTTGCTCAATTGTTGATTCCGACCTAGCCGCTTAAGTTGGTGATCATCATTTCAGGAATTACTCGGGATACTTTGCTAATGAGGATGAAGAAATCACAATGGCAGGAGGTTATTGATCTGAATCTTACAGGAGTGTTTCTTTGTACTCAGGTTTGAATGCTGAACATCTAAGTAAGTATTTCCAGTGGATGCTTGAGTCGTTTATTGGAACTTAGTTGCTTTTTCTCTTTGCAGGCAGCAGCCAAAATCATGATGAAGAAGAAAAAGGTAATTGGATATTCTCATTTGAACATCACATGTAGTGTTGCTTTGCCAATTTGATTACTGTTGAACTCTGTGCATCCAAGTCAACTGATAATCTATAGCCCATAACTTGAGCCAAAATATTCTAATGTCATAGCTTTGGGATGCATCTTTCTTGTGGATGCTTGCTCTTTTGTAGTGCCAGGAAATGAAGGAAATGTTTTTAAGCAAGCTTCAAGATTGTTGTCTTAGAACATGTGTCATGTCTCAATATATGTTCTAATTTCAGGGGAAGATAATTAACATAGCATCAGTTGTTGGACTGGTCGGCAACATAGGGCAAGCCAACTATAGCGCTGCTAAAGCTGGAGTTATTGGTTTGACAAAGACTGTTGCAAAGGAATATGCGAGCAGAAACATTAATGTAAGTTTTCCCCAGTTAATCCACTTCCAGTACTTGATAAGAAAGATCCAGGATTATGTGTTTTGGAGTTTTGTTGCATGCTTTTTTCAAGATGTGATATGCTCCAATTCTTCTCTTTTCAAGTTCTCCCTTTATCTTAAGAGGAAAAAGAATTGGAATATGCGATGTGGATAATGTGAAGAAAGATGAAAACTGAACAATAAGGGCACCATCCTTATATGAGGTCAAGGAGTAAGATTTATGCTGCTAATCTGGGATATGCTTACTCTGATAATGCAATATGAAAATTTTCTTCCAGGTCAATGCTGTTGCACCGGGATTTATTGCATCTGATATGACCGCCAAACTTGGGGATGACATTGAGAAGAAAATCTTGGACACAATTCCCTTAGGTAAGAAAATCTAGAAAATCATGGTCATGGGGATATGATCCTCTAAGGAGTCTCTAAATAGATGAAAATCTAGAAAAACATTGAAAATATCTGAGTTCAGCACTCACATTCAAGTCCAAGTAGCTTAGAATGATTATTCAAAATCAAATTTCATTATCTCCATCATTGTGAACCTTTCTTGTTAAATTGTTAGCTTTCGGTTGAAATGCCTGAGAGTTCTTATTGCTGTCAATCTTGCAATATTCCAAACATGATGCATATTTGTTTATTTTGACTCTAGTCAACAACCTTCTTTATTGCCTCTATTAATATAAACTTGTATTATCACGTGATATCCTAGTTGCCACAGATTCAAATTGGATGTTTTGAGTAGTAATATTTGGTTACATATTTGCAGCAGTGGTTAACTATATTTGTTATGGATACAGGAAGGTATGGCCAACCCGAAGAAGTTGCCGGACTGGTGGAATTTTTGGCCATAAACCCTGCTTCTAATTACATCACAGGACAGGTATATCAGTTATCATTCTTGCCTTATATAAAATCTTTATGTGGACTTGACGAACTTGTGATATGCCTCAACTCACAAGTATCCATGATTCTGTTAGCTGGCTATAAAGTATAAATGATGCCTAAAGATTAACTAGGCTGAATGCTGACGCGGATCAAATCAGCACTTACACTAGTTTAACCTTGGGGCTAGGCCCTGCATGTCACAATATAAGTTTGATTCGGTATAATGAATCTTTGTTGGTTGTTTCTTTGCTTGCTTTTGCACGCATGGATAAATGCATATATTTTTCTACCAATGCAACATCTTGGTTTTTGTATGGCCTGGCTTTAATGATTTCGTTGTCTCTCACTTGATTGTGAGCTATAAGAGAGGCCAAGCTTATTTAATATTTTTTGACTTGCATTATTTTCTTCGCCTTGTAATTCTTTGTTGCTCCGAGTCTTCATTTTTCTTGAAGTGCCCGTGTTTGAAACTATATTCAACATTTTTCAAGACATGGTTTGGAGATATTAACATACACGTGTCAGACACATATCTATGTCAAACATTGATACCCAAATCTGAATAACTTGGTCGGGATTTGCTTGCACTTCCTTGCTTGTTAGTTGATTAGTTTTCACAAGGCGATTGACCTCTATCGAAACAGTCATACAAAGACATTGATGGGGTGCAAGTAATTGTTTTTGTTGAAACAAAAAGGGCCAAATCAGTTCTAAGCCTTGCAACTGTGGTCAATTCACATCATGTTCCATGATTGATTTCTCTGACAATGTTTTGACAGTGCCTCGCATCCGAGAGTGTTATTGTTTATCTTGTTTCTTTTCCCCTTTTCTTGAATTATAGCTGATAGCCTAGGGACGTTGTTTTGCAGGTGTTTACCATTGATGGAGGAATGGTCATGTAAAATTGTGGTACCTTAAGCTTTCATCGGTTCTGCATCTATATCAGGACTCAAAATTAATATAGCTTGTTTAGTGTTTTGGATGTTTGCTATGAGTCGATCAGTTTTAGCTATTCGAAGTTTATTCGCCATGATATAAGTATTATCGGCAGCATTTCCAAACGAAAAAGCTATTTTACTTGTAGGCTTTCATTTGACCTTTTGAACAGTTTGTTCTCTTCATACATGGAGTTTTAACATTTGAATCTGAAAATTTATGTCAATTTGCCCGCATATTTCTGCTATTTCATTTATCAAGGATGACTAAAATTTTATCCGCGGATTTTATATCTAGTCATTTTGAATGGCTTGATCTCTTTTCTCGAAGAGCAAGGATGGATAGAGTAGAGTTCTGATAAATAGTTTATTCTATATAAAGTTACTAATTTACCTTAAACCCACAGACTTCGAATATATTAATCCAAAATCAAAACAAAATTTGTTTTTTCAAATGAGTACTTTTTCATGCTTTATATCCAATCCTCTCTAGTGTCAATTTTCTATCTAATCCTTTGATCTTAAATACAAGGAATATTAGATACGACCGATTATAACATCATATATGGAACATGAATCAAAAAACAAAAAGTTAATAACGATTAGGACAAACATACCCTCTAATTTATCTATTTTTTCTTCTATCTGGTCCTGCAAATTAGTTTGATCTTAAATAACCAAAACACAAATACTGAATTTCCACATCTAATATCAATACCTCATGAACTTCGATTTTGGCTAAGCATTAAAATCCAACTTCTTTGCATCTTCTCTCTAGCATTTGGTTCCCCCATTTCTCGAATCATTTTCTGAGGAACGCCTTCTGCATTTTTTTAGACAGTTCAAGAGGCTCATATGCTAATAACTGAAGCATTCATCTTATCAGGACTCCCTTGATATTTGAGCTCTACAAACGTGCCTCCGCCTTCTCCCTTGGCCAGTCTTCCTGGGTTAATACAAACACATCTTTTCATTTGTTCTTCCCCTTTGCTTGTTCCCCCTACAGATAACACCTGTAACCACAAAGAACATGCAAGGATGCATGAGGATCTCATTCTTCTTTTATTTATTGCAAAAAACCACATTACTCGAACTCAAGCATGTGTTGAATATGAGTATGTGCCCAACACCGACTGTATTTTCCATTTTTTCATATATTTAGAGGTTCTTTAAGGGATTATATCCCATACTAAACACAGATACTCGAAGAAAAATCAAGAGTTAAAGCAACATAAATAGATACTGGAACGGTGTTTTCTTTTCTTTATCATCTTAACTGAAGTTGGAACTGAGAAAATTCTATGTTACCAGGACCCCAGATGTATTCAATATGTGTATCTTTAACTATCTTGCTAGGACTTATATAGAGGATCCTTAAAAATCGTTTTCCCGTATCAATGCTTCAATATATATGACATGTATACCGAATACAAATATTTCAAGAGAAATATGGGGTAGGAGCAACATAGGACGGTTTGGGATCACCACTAACCTTGACAAAATACTTGATATCTGAAGGTAAGATAAGAAGCTCCGGAACTGAAGAAATTTGAAGAGCTTCAGGAGCAAGGGAAAAATCCATTGGGACACCTTCAGCTGGTGGATAGAGCGGATAAAAGCTGTAACATCAATCAACAAAATAAAACATATTTGATAGGTTAATTAACATGTCATATTACTGAACCAACTAAGAAATTATTAACTGAAATGAGTTTCAGAAAATATAATAACTTATTGAAAGATACCTCTGTTGGCTAAGAATATGGGTGGCAAGTCTACTCAAGCGATCATTAGGTTTTCCCTCCACTGAATGTCTTGACATCTCCTCCCCACTAAGATGTTTGAGAATATCTACTGTGCAGCAACCTATCTTGACCTGAAAGCGAAAATTTATGTTACTTGGATTTAGGTATGTATCGGATATTGAGTGTCTACCCAATACTTATATGTATATTTTCCCCCAAAATTTGCATGTACTCAGAAGGTGCTTGCAGGATTATATCCCCATACCATGTTCGAATATGAATCGGACATGTTAGTGTCAATTACCGGGTATGAACCCAACATGGGCATGTTCAAGTTTTTCGTGTATCTGGAGAATACTTGGAGAAATATACTATTGTATCATGTTTGCATACACATTGAAAACGAGTATTGGATGAACATAAATATTTTAAGAAAGATGAAAAATCAGAATCTAGCCCAAAATTACCATCGAATATACTTTTACATGTTCTACCACTCAAGGTTAAACCGTCATAATTTGGCAACTAGTTTAAAAGTTATAGCATTCGGTGTCAAACATGTTTAGAAGATATGCTCCATTAAGCTATTTTAATCTGACTCTTCAATTTCCTTGAAGTATCCGTGTCAAGTAGTTACGCCCAAAACATATACACTCATGGTGAATCCTCCAAGACTATATCAGTGGTGGATGCATACTTGTACCCAACACTGACCTCTGACTCCAAGTAACATGGCTACCAAGCAAAAGCTCGAGAGAAAGGTAAATAAAGCAACATAATAGATAAAAGTTGCAATTGATTTACCTGATCTGCCTCAAAAATCCCTGGATTATTAAGATTGGTTATCTGGATAAGAATGGAGAAACGAGATCAAGTTATTTATGAAAAAACAGATTGTGGACTCGAGTAGGAATTCATCACTATATCAGCAGACCTGATGTTTAACATCGAGAGAATCAAGATCGAAAGCAGGCTGCATAAAGTTCAAATAGAAATTTCAGCATTTGATTAATTTCAAAATATCAACAAACCAAACAGAAGTACAATTCATTTTATTTGGCAAAAGGGAAAATGACCTGAGGGAAAACAAAATCGTGATGAGCATCTCGTACAGATGGAATCATAACCAACTGAGCACTGGGACCCATATATTCCAAATAATCTTGAACCTGAAAATACCAGTAAGAAAAACAGATGATGAAAGATGCATAAGTTATGTTACTCAGATTCAAGTGTTTCATAAAGAAGCATAAGTTATGCTAATTGGATTCGGGTATTATATTTCTGTACCCATATCCAAATACAAACCAACAGAGATACTCAAGAAAAATGAAAGGCAAGAGAAACATAAAACATCAGTAGTAACTTTTTCTTTATAGATACCATTCTAAGAACCTCTGATTGGAATATATCATCAAAACTCAAGTCAACAGTTCCTTTCTTGATCTGTGGATGTTCAGAATCGATAAAAGGCCCTAACTGAAAGTTATCAAGAAGCCACCTGGTTAGGAAACAACAGTAAAATTCTACAAAAGAACTGGGGAAAAAAAGTGCAGTGGTTTCACACCAGTATAAGCAACTGTGGAGACTTTCTGGTTGCATAGGCGAGCAGTTCTGAAAGAGGCTCAAATAATAAGTTGTCTGTAGTAGTGAATGGACCAGCAGCAATAATCTGTTCAAACATTCATCACAATTAAAGAATTTGTTAAAAACAAAAAGTCAGAAACTTAAGAGAAGAGAAACAATCCTACATTACTCAGACTAGGGTATGAGTGTCATTATATGTATCTGACAGAGGTATCTCCAATTTTTAAGCAAAATTTCTCTAAGGATCATATCCCCATACTCCTATCCAAAAATGTGTTGGACACAGTACTTCAAGAAAAATGAAGAGTCGGAACAACATAGGAATCGTCATTAGAGAGAATTCCAGATTGCCATGGCTGCATGAGTCCAGAAATTACTAATCTAAGATAGTTATCTGACATATAAGATTATCCTACACACCATTGTTATCTCTGTTGACGCAGAGGAAAGATGTGTTGCCTGAATCTCATCATCTAAAGCTTGCTTCTTTGCAGGAGGCAGATCCATATCAGCAGCAATGGATAAAGGAATATAATCTACTAGCTCTGATGCAATCAAACAATGGCCACTAGGGTTGTTACCCTTGATACCTACAACCTGCATAGAATAAATATCTCCAGTCTGATATGGGATTTTTTCAACAGACCAAACAAGACCAACAATCTTTTATAATGTTTATTACCTGGCCCGGAAAAAAGGAAAAGAGGCTCAGTTTATTTAACTCTAGTCGAACACGTTGCCCTCCAGAATGCTCAACACTGTCAAAACGATAGGAGACAGCCAAAAAGGAGAGTTAGAACAGCATATATAAATATTATTTTTCTAATGTGAAAAGTGTGTAGAGTAGTCCGGCCTCCATTTACAAGGCAAGGCTCTTAAATATAAAATAAGGTATGTCGAAAGTCCAGATTTAGGCTGACTAAAAGTATTCTATCAACCAAATTGATCTCACACAGTATGGTAAATTGGTTCTATTCATAATTTAATTACAACAGCACCCTTGCTAAAGTGTTCGATTGTTCATTTGTCATGTGGCTGGCTCATTATTGATAAAATCATCTGTTATCTTTGACTATGCTTACACCAGTTAACATAATGAATGTCTATTTGGTTCCCTCTTAATGTGTTAATGAACACAAATACAATAAATATTCGGCCCAGGGCATTTTACCTGCTTTGCAATAAGATGGATTTATCATTTAGATGACCCTCACCATCACAGCAGATCATCCCGACGGCAAATATGCTCCTCTGAAGCAATAAATTCTTTTAGATGCATGGGCAATTAAAGACTCTAAGAGATGACAGGTGAAACAGCAAACTACCTGTGAAGCAATTGATGGATCCATTGGTTCTTCATAGAGACTAGATGCAACAAGTGCAGTTGCATGCTTCTTTATGCGGTTTTCAAGTACATTGAACTGTAGCAATGATAAGCCATCTTACTAACATAGATTGCAGATTAAAAGAAAAAACAATGATTTATGATATAATAACTATCAGTATACCCTGTCTTCAATCCTGTCATACAAGAACCTGCAACCTGGTTCTGGCCCTGATCTGTGGACCACCAATGAACAGCTTTTCTGAGGTTGAATCCTTTTAATAATGCCATCCTCAGGATTCTCATGATCTTCAATTGCAGTCTCAGTAGTAGGAAGATTATCAATGTTGAATTTGACCACAAATTTGTTACTTCGTGTCCCAAATGGTGTCACTAGTTTTGATTTCCTCTCAGAAGAATAAATGTTCCCCTTCATTTTGTGTGATGAGTCATATATGTCCAAATGATGTTTCTCGGATTTCCCTGTTGGGGTTCCAAGAATAACATTGTTTGTATCTTCAACTTCGGCATCTAAAACCCTGGACAAATCACATCCCATGATTTAAAAACTAAACTTAAATCAGAAACTGTGCAAAATAATCCAAAACACAGCACTTGAAGCCCAGTAATGTTTCAAGAGGAAATTCAACCACAATTACCAAATAAAAACAAAGGAGAAAATGAAAACATCCAAAAATGCCATATGAAATCTATTGAGGGATTCAACCACGATTAGATATTCATTTGTTTCCACTGATCTGCCACCCCGCCTCAAACCTGAACTTAATTTAAGTTCTAGTACCCTAACCTGAATCCAAAATAAACAAACCCCCAACCAAACCAAATACAAAAAACACATACGATAAAAAACCTACCAACTAAACCAAATACAAACGATTAAAATAAAAAACACATATGATAAAGTGTAGTCAACTTTGCAAACTAAAATTAAAATATATAAAATTAAAAGAGAGGTATCTTAGTAAATATTCCAGGTTGGGGGATTTTATCTAAAACCATTCTAACCTGAACCCAAAAATTTTAATAGAAAACCCACACGACCCGGCCTAAGCAGAACTTTATTTTCAGAAAACCACTTCTCTAGGGTCAGGCCAAAATGCTACACAAGTTTTCCTCTTAGGATCATTTGAAACAAGCAAATGATTTACTTTCCCTTTTCTTTTTCTTCCAAAACTATGTACAAAAAGCGAAAGAATAAAATGCTAATATTATTTTAACAATATGACATGAAAAAATGCTCACATGTCGACATCTTTGAAAGAGTACAAATGCAAGCCAGCATCCTTTTTAACACCTTCCCCTACTTGTTCGTTCTGTAGGTGTCCTAAAAACCCATCCATTTCTGCATCCCTTACAACAGGTTCATCAAGTTGTCTGCACCAAAAGTAGGCTTTTAATTAGAGTATTAACACTTCTATAGATCTAGTAAATATTCAAAATTTAAGAAAAAACAAAGACAAAGAAACCATATAAGAAATTGCTCTATAAAATTTTCTCTACACAATTACTAATTAAAAAAAAACAAGAGGGCTAGCTAAATCAGTAGAATTACCGATTGAGATAATAAACCTCCCAGCTTGAAACGATATCGGAAGGATGGAGACAGTAATTTACACAGAACGTGTGGCCTAACCGAAAAAAAGGATTTCAGATCTTTGCTCACCATTAATCAATAAGAAAAAGAGAAACGATCAAATTGAAATTCTAAAAAAGAAAACTCACATTTCTTGAGTATCTCTTCTTCTTCATCAAGAGTGAACCCGCTCTTCAAGAACTCTGCTTTGATCTCCTCTTCCATGGCTGCCTCAGTCTCTCTCTAACTCTCGGTCGATTTCTGTCAATCTAATCTAGGGTTTCGTTTTTGCTGATGCGAGAAATGGCGGGAAAGTTTTTTGCTTTGGATAAGTAAATGACAAAAAGAGGGCTTTTGCACTTTCGCGGGTTTTTTGTTGGTCTAATATACTTTTAGCCCCCAATTTTTTCATCTATTAGCGAGAAGACCCCTCTTTTTGGTCGTGCTCTTGGATAATGAAACTTTTACCTTTAGTCGGCCTGATCGAGTATTGATTCAAGTTATATAATAGTAATAATATTTTTATTTAAATTCAAGAATAAAAATATTATTATTTCCCAAAATTCAAGAGCCTTTTTCATATATATAATTTAATTTAATTATAATAGTGTTCATTCATGTTTATTTATCAAAATAAAAATTTTTGTTACACAAGACAATTATACACCTAATCAACCATGTCATCTAAAAATATATATTTGATTAGATGCGCTATTGTATAACTTTGATAATCTAATTAGATCATCACGTTGCGATTTTCATTTCGCGTTGCGATTCTCTCGTTGCGATAGTCATTTCCGCGTTGCGATTCTCATTATCTCGTTGCGATTTTCATTTCAACCAAAAGACAAAACAGTGTTGCAAATTTTAGTTTCAATAATAAACTACTATTTATGTTTATTGTTTTTGGTATATCTTGACAGTGTAGTTTTTGGTATATCTAACTTGGTATGTTTATTGTTTTTGTAGAAATTTTTTTCGGCTTCATTGACATTAAGGAATAAAGTTAGCCTAGCCACTACAATTGCTTCGAAGCTTTCACCTGCACAAAGAAAATTGTTTGAGGAAACCTGCTTCGGGCCATGGCTGAGAGTACAACATCCGGGTGGAGATGCTAATTTGACCCATTTGTGGCTTCAGACCATGACTAGCGATCTACCCGACAGTATACAACGTAGTGAGGAAGAGATATGGTTTCATTTTCCACTGGCGTATACTTGTTTTGGGCGGAAGGAGTTCTGCTTAATCACTGGTCTACGATTCGGACACGATGATGTAGGCCGGTACACTCGTCATATCACCCGCCCATCATGGTTATCCAGGGTTTTTCCTGATGAGTCAATAGAGAAGCCGAACTTACACGTCGACGACATGAAGAAATTGTTTAATAAGAAAGATGATTTTACTCGGATGAATGACGTCGATGTTGTCCGAGTATGCATTCTACTACTTTTGTATGCCGGCTTTTTAGGTAGAGAGGCCAGACAACCTATTCCTCAGGAGCTAATATTATTGGTAGAGGACCTAAATGCATGGAATCTGTTTCCGTGGGGTTCGTATATATGAAAATCTACCTGGACTAAGTTGTCGTCTGCCTTTGATGACCGCAAAAGTTTGCGGGGCGATGGGTCGAAATACACTTTGTCAGGCTTTGTTTGGGCCTTTAAGGTAAGAATTTCTATATAATGTTTTCAAAATTATAATTAATTATTTAACAATTACTAATGTTTGTTATTATATTGTTTGTAGATTTGGATATTCGAGGCCTTTCCAGCCATGAAGACATATGCAATAAAAACTTCAAATGATATTCCTAGGGCTATTTCCTGGAAGAGGAAACGTCTGTTGGATTGGGAAGACTTAATACCATATGCGACAATAAATAATGTAAGTTAACACAAATACTATAATATATAAATAAGTTATTAATAGTAGACGTTTAACTTTGTTTGAGTTTTTATATTTTTAGGAGGCCAACATTATATTAATGAGACTGACACCCACGGAGGCTGAGCTTGCTACTGATTGGTGGCAAGCTAGTCAGCGTTTTCTTGATGGCACGAATGATGAGCAGCCTCCACTTCCTCCACTTCGAGAGCCATCACCTCACCCAGAGCCATCACCTGATCGACCCGACTATACACCTCTACAACGAGAGCCATCACCTATCCCGTCACATCATCGAGCCTCTTCTCCACCATCACCTCATGATAGGCGACCGGCAAAGATGCCACGACTTCTATCTCCCTGTTCTCCACCTCCACGGGATGAGTCAAGGGAGTTACGTGATGAGGTCAATGCCTTGCGTGAGGAGATCGGTACTCTACGCGATAACGATGGTGCATGGCGTGTGGAGGTGTCTACTTTACGTGGTGAGGTTGCCGCTCTACGTGAGATGGTAGTATCGTTGTAGAATGAGGTTCATACTCTACGCAACGAGGTACGTTTAAGATTTTCCATATTTAACTTGATGATAAATTTACTCGTAATTTCACTTAAATTAATCATTTCACTTAGATTGCTTAGTAAATTTATTCGGTTGCTGCCAATACTGCTAAACTGTTTATTAACACTGTGAAGTTAGTATTTGTCTTTTTGTTTTGTCTTTTGGTTGAAGTAAATTTATTCGGTTGCTGCCAATTCTGCTAAACTGTGTATTCTTTAACACTGTGAAGTTAGTATTTGTCTTTGTTTTGTCTTTTGGTTGAAAGTTTGAAATATATTTGTCTTTTTTCACTGTTTAAATATCATGTCTGTTTATTTACTGATATTTGTATTTAATTATTTAGCGGACCGATAAGGTGGATGCTTTACGTCGGGTTTTTCTTGCACGACAGAGTTCACGCATCAGACGGCGTGCACGTGCTATTAAGTCTCCGTATACCCCAATAGTGCGAAGACACTGCAAGAAGAAGCCCGACTCGCCTGTCATCCCTCAAGAGTCCACTCCTATCGTTGAAGAGGCCCCTATCATTCCTCGAGAGTCCCCTCCCACCGTTCAAGAGGCCACTGTCATCGTTGAAGAGGTCCCTCCCACTATTCAAGAGCCCGATTCACATGGCGTCATATGTAGGATTCTTGAGAAACCCTCTGACGTGCCGGACATGATGGATTCAAGTTGGCTCTCGTATGAGTTACCGGCCAGTACCATACCGGTATCTGAAGTGGAGAGGAAACAACTACCGGACACAATTCTGGATAACACCCTTTGGGCTAAGACCGCAGTTGATTTTTATCTACATGAGCGAAGCCAGGGGTGTTTCACTGATATATGCAAGCTCAACGATGATATCTATTTGTTGCTTGATCGGTCTTGGTGGGGCGTATTATTAGGGGTCGAAGACAATGGCTATCTCGATGGAGGGGTAAGTCTTATATTCTTATATTTTAATTTGATTATTTTTTGTAATTTATGTAAGTTACTAATATATGTCTTTTTTTGTAAAACAGCATATCGATGCGTGGGTGTCACGTCTTCTAATAATTATGAAACTTAAGGAAAATAAAAGAAATACACGATATACAATTATGTCGACGTCTTTTAACGCCGTTCACTTGAAGAATCAACGAGATGAATCATTTGCGTTGGGCAATGGACAAGCTAAACTTTATCCTGCATGGTGGGAGGTCGATAAGGTTAGTGTTTATTTTAGATTGAGTTTAAAGGTATTCATAAATAAGTGCGCAAATGAATGAATTATTACTTATGATTACAGGTGTTTATCCCTGTTTTGGAACGTAACCATTGGCTTCTCGTCGAGCTTCAGATCCCATCCCTTAAGGCAATAGTATATGACAGCATGATAAATTACATATCATTGGCTGATTTAAGAGATATTATTAAGGGATGGAGCTCTTATTTGGCTAAATTCTTGGATGCGATAAATTATTGGACTCGTTCTGGAAACAAGAAACCAAAGAAGCTCAATATTACAGTTAGCAGAGACGAGACCGCACCACAACAAACGAAATGACCCAGAGGGGATTGTGGTCCTCTCGTATGCTTGGCGTTGGACCGTTTGATCACAGGAGTATAAAGTATCTACCTCCCACCGATATAGATAGAGCTGCAGTAGGCTTGTGGTTTCGACATTATGGCTAGATCGATATATACGAGACGCTGCCTACCTGCATCCGCGTTATAAAAATGTCCATAAACAATTGGTATGTTTATAGGCTTGTGGTTTGAAAATGTTTGGTTAAGTACCTAGAATTCAATAATTTGTTGTTTGTAGGTTTTAGATGTGTAGAAAGTGTTGTTTGAGCAAATGTTTGGTTTATGCAAGTTAATCTCAGAAGTGAGATGCGTGAAAATGATGTATGGCTGCAAAAGTTGATTCAATAGTAGAAGTGTTATTTTCTCTAAGAATTATTGCTTATTTTTTGATTGTTTAATTGATTTGTAAAAGGTGATTTGTAAAAGTTGATTTGTTTAATTGATGTTAACATAATTCTTATTTGTGCTTGTTTAATTGATTGAAATGTAATGGTTGATTTTGTTGATTTCAATCTGCATTATGTTGAAGGCAAAAAGTACTATCGCAATGCAAAATGAAAATCGCAACGAGAGAATCGCAACGCGAAATGAAAATCGTAACGAGAGAATCGCAACGCGAAATTAAATTCGCGTTGCGATTTTCATTTCGCATTGCGATTCCCTCGTTGCGATTTTCATTTCGCATTGCGAAATTAGCGTTGCAATTTTCATTTCGCATTGCGATTCTCTCGTTGTGATTTTCATTTCGCATTGCGATAGTAATTTCCGCGTTGCGATAGACATTAAGATGATTGCCTATTAAGTGATAACAACTGAACAGATCATAGCAATTTTCAAACTCAAGTTACTAATACATGCCTAACTGAAAATGTTAAAAGTTCACACATAAAATCTACATAATACAACGTTTGCATTTAAAAATCACCTAAGTTAACAATCCCAAAAGGTGAAGCCAGTTGTGATTGGGATTTTAAAGATGATTGCGATTTTGATTGCCTTTTTCTTGACACCATATGAGCTTTGGATTTTGATGATGATCCATATTTTGGTAGAGGAAAAGATGATTGTGATGGCACTGGTGATCCACATGTCAACCTTGTATGATCACTTTCCTTGCACCGACTACATGTCGATCTCTTCTTCTCTTCACCCTTAGACGGTATACGATCGTGACTTTTTGGTCGGCCAGGTAGTCTTCTATCCATGGCTGGTGGCAAAACTGTTTGTAAGTCATCTGGTATGTCCCACTCAGAAGGATGTGGAATAGGGTAGACAATCTCGGCATAAGTCTGTCGATATACTTCTGTAGTGTAGCAATCCATAGCGTATGTGCTTGAATCATCTTGGTTTAGATGAAGAGCAAC